ATTAGAAGATTAAAATCAAATTTGACTAGTTCACTTGTAAAGGCTGTCAGTCAAATGATGAATAAGGAGAAGCTTAGCATACTCAACTTTAGCCTTTGGAAAGCCTTCAACTATTTGAAACATATTGACTTTTGATAGCCTTCAAGCTTCAATCCTTAGTGCTTTATAGACTAATAGAAGAGCTATTTATATGTTATGAGACAGTTATGAAGGAGATATAGCAGCTATTCGCATATTGACTGTACAAGTTGCAAACAAAGGGAAATGCTGGCAAACTGGATCAACTTAGCAATGATCGGATGTTCAGTGGTAGGGAAGATGAGGCAAAAACACATTTTGATGATATATACAACTCTTTGAGAAGCAAAAATACTTCTTTTCATCTAATAAAGCCATCTCTGTGCTTAAAGAGGGTCTAAACGAAATTGCAAAACGCCAAATGGCTCATCGTTTGCTGTCACGAATTCACAAATTCATTAAGATGAATCCGCCTTCTAAGCCAAATAAAAGGAATTGCTCGATTGAAGCAGACGGTCTTTCCGGCTTGGTGAACGATTAAGCTTCAGGAATAGCCGGAACTGCCGGGGCAAGCTTTAAGCAACATGAATAAGGTCACAGACCATTCATAACCATTTATGGCAAACTCATCTAATATGGCGAATGATCGTTGTCGTTTCGAAGCAAAACAGATTGCCTCCACCCGATGAATAGCCAAAGAGCCTCAAAATAATATACGTTCGATAGAAGAATAAGATTTTTAAGCAGATTGTCAATTAATATTACAAATTATCCAGATGGCTTTCAGAGAAAATTAGATCTACTCATGTACAAAGTTTTTGAAACATCTAGAGAGAGAGAGAGAGAGAGAGAGAGAGAGAGAGAGAGAGAGAGAGAGAGAGAAGAATATGGATATGGTGAGAAGAGAGAATGAATGCAACCGCTCTGTGTGAATGTATAGGTCAAAATGAAACTATTAACGTGTCCCACCATCAATATCTAATTAGCATAGAGAACATCGAGTATGCAAATTGGTCAATGTTAGTGTTCATAGAGCTTAGTTCGAAGAAATCTGATATGAAAAGGTTGACATTTTTCCTTTTTTTTTTTGTCAAAGCCCACAGGATGAAATTTCATTTTAGAAAAGCGAATATTGACTAAGTGAAATGAATTCTATGCATGCAAGACAATAACAAGGCATAGTTAACTAAATATATCATATAAACAACAGGTTTTATGAACATTTCGCAACACAAGGGATATTACCGTTTGAGAGCTGTCAGTTTATGAGGATCTTCATTCTCTCTATGTCTCTCTATCTCTATCTCTCTCTTGTCTCATCCAAGTTGGAACTATAAGCTTCTTTTAAGTTTTGGTGATAGATTGAAGGATGATTCTCCGAATAGTCGCTTTTTCCCCCTCAAATGAGTTGGTGTTGCAGCAGTAAACCCTCTCTTTAAATGCAGATCTTCAATAATAATTTGCATAATGAAAGTTAAAGATGGCCAATTTCCAAGTTCGTATGATTATGGTCTATGGTCGTTCGTAAAAAAAAGTAAAAAATTGTTATTGCTATTGACAAAATAGGAGAAGCTGTAGAGAAGAGAATGTACGAACACATACTTTGCTAATGAAATTGGATATGTTATTCCTCATTAGAAACACATTTGAAAGATCTCTCTCTGTCTCTCTTCATATTTGTTCTACATAAAGTAATGAAAGGTAAAATTACCTTCTGTAGAAGTTCTTTCTTTGAAATCTGTTGTCTTGCATATGAAAGATTCGGAAGCTCTTGTTGCTAATGGCTAGTTGTCCATACTCCATGACCATTGCTTTTTCACTTCCGCTAACTCATAGAAAACTTGTAGAGGTGTAAAGTATTGCCAACTAGGGCGAGATGGCCGAGTGGTCAAAGGCGCTGGTTTTAGGCACCAGTCTCTCCGGAGGCGTGGGTTCGAATCCCACTCTCGTCAGCTTTTTTGAGAACTTCAGTACTCATGAGTAGTCGCGACAACTGCTTAACATGAGTTATTGTTAGAGTCCTACCGTTTTTCGACGCTCTAGCGAGCCAAAAACCTTCAATTATCACTAGTTTTCGGATTTTGAAGAATTCTGGTGGTTGAAATACACGAATCATTAATTGCGCTAATAGAATCGAAAAAAAACAAATTTTATTATGCTCAATTCTTAGACACTCAATAATTTCAAAACTCAGATTAATTGTCCTTTCACTAAATATCTTATTCACGGTACTGTTGCCATTGAATCTCATGAACTTCGGTGCTGACTCGTTTGCAACGTTGATCCCGAGCAATTCTGCGATCAATACTAGAGAATATGCCTTCAAGGGCTTGGTAGTTTGAATCACTCGCCGGATATCCCTGAAAAAATTAATAAAATTATTTAAACGATGAAAAGTTACCAAAAGGATATATTGTTCCAATTTTTTTTAGGAATTTACTGACTGGCGACATCCCGTATTTCTCTGCGTCTCTGCTCAAGCGTCACTCATTACGCATAATATCGAGATCCCGCCTTCTTCATAAGCCATTGAAACGAGTGCATCATCGGCCAGCATAAGGTCGGTTTTGATAGTGCTTTTGGTGACGGCATTGCTTCGTAACTTCACGACAACGTTTTTGTCCATCATTTTGATTTTTTAAAAAAAATTAAATAAAAAGAGATATGAAATGAGAAAAACGTCAGCTTTGGCTCTTATGCATTATTTCCCCCCCCCGGCTCCGCCCCTTTTGCCGTTGCCGCACGGAATTTATTTTTGTAGAATTAGGACTAGGACGGGGGGGGGGAAATAACGCATAAGAACCTCAGCTTTTTTAAGAACTTCAGTAGTCATGAGTAAGCTCTCAGAAGCGTTCCGATCTCTCTATCGCCACAGTGTTTGCGTGGGATTGTGGACATATTTTGATGTTGCTGTTACTCCTACATTTTTTGCTTATTTTTCATCTTTTCGCGACATTATAACTGCTCAACATGAGTTATTGTTAGGGTCCAACCGTTTTTTGTACCTCTGTCAAGAGATGCACTTGGAAGCGCGGCAGATTAACCACAATGTCAGGTGTTTTATAATTGGAAAGTGATAGCGGATGAGATGATATGCATCCAACGTGATGTTAGCTGAGAAATCGAGTCAAATTTAATAAAAAGAGATATGAAATGAGAAAAACGTGCCTGTGAATAGAATCTGTTAACAAGCTAGTATAATCCATTGGAATTACACCAGATAGACAATCTGACGATTCAAACATCTCATTCTGACTTCTCTTCATATTTCATCTCGCAGATGTGGTCGGAAAAAAAGGAAATTTCTCTACTTCTGCTCAGACTCACAATTAATTGTTTCTTGTTTTTCATACTTGATTCTTTGTACTTAACAAAATACATCTACGATCCTTCCACGCCTACCCTTCTCTGAGCTTTCTCCCTTCTCTTTTCCACTTCATCATTCTGTTGCTTGTTCGTTCTTCTAGCTCATTTTCCATAGCCTACTTTACTTTCTTTATATTCCACAGTACTCCAAATCATATCATATCCTTCAAATCGTAGATTATAGTAAGTTCAAAGAAGAATTGTTGAACACTTCTCTTCTCCCCATCCCATTTGTTAAAAATGAAAATAATCGTCCCTCCCAGAGACTTCCTCAATTGCCATTTGTTTCTTCTCTTCCATTCTTTATCTTAACAATGATTTGTAAATGATTTTCTGCTCGAACTATCACTTGCACACATCCAAACGTTGCAAGCTCTGCTAGCAATACACTGCTTTGGAGCGATTGCTAAGTTGTAGGACCTAGTGATTATCCATAAATCTTTCGTTTCCAGAGTTTATCTTTGAACAAAAAACTTTCTTCTCCTTGTTTGTTGTTGTTTACACAAAAGTGTTGATCGGAAGAAGAGATTGTGTTCGGTCAAACGTCTCTCTTGGGATTCTCGAATTTGCATTGTATGTCTCCTCTACCACACATACAATTTGCCGTTTTAGCAACGAGATTCAATCTGTTAAGCCCTTTTCCATCCATTCCTCTTATTTTTGCGTTTCAAAATCTCATTGTGAAACATATAAAAATAGAAAAGAAGAGATTACGTTATGTTGAGGAACTAACTTCTCATGACAGAATCAATCGCTTGACCTGTCAAACTCATCATCCACCATATCATCGTTTCAACGAATGTTTCTCACATCATCTGGGTTATTAAAACAGAAAAAAAGAAGTTTCTTGAGTTCATTCATACTCCACACGAGTTCTTTAAACTGCTACAATTAACATTCACAACAAGAGTTCATCGTCTAAAAGAGCATCTAACAACTTCATTCCATAAGCTGCGGTACAGAAGCACGGACCACAGCCTCGCAACTTCTTTGTTTTTCCTCAAAAAACTCTCATTCTCCGCTTTTTTCTCTTTGAAGTCTCAATCATATTTCTTCTTTTTTAATATTTTTTGGATCATCTCTCTCTCTGCCATTTTCTTAAGCACATGTCCTGAATTCTTCATCAGCTGTCAATTAAAAATGCTTTAAACAGCTGAGCTCTATACTGTGACGAAAGCAACTCATCGTTTTTCAAATTTTCTGCTCCTCCTCACACCCCCTTTCGAACAGAAAAAAAGTCTTCAGAAGTTATCACATCTACCGCCATTATGAAACACCGCTCATTCACTTTTCATTTGTTGTCTTGCTCCTTCATCTTCACACTATTTTTATATTTTTGCAGAACACGAACAAATCCTGCAGTTGGACTTTTAAAACAAACAGCTCCCATCTGATATGGCTAAAGGTACTTTATATTCCCATGCGACCGTTCAACGCGAATTCAAAAGTCTCAAATGAAGCATTTATTTCATTTCCACGTGTTTTTTACTTAGCTGACGCAAACACACGTCACAGTTCGAGTTGAACGGAATTATCATAGAGATGTACTGATGCTTTTCATTCAAGGCGAGAAATTGCGTGAAGTATGGCTCATAGCTGGATTGTATTTGGCTATCATGGTAGAATCTGCCACTGTTGGTTTGTTGTTCCACGCAACGTTAGCTGAGATGATCGATCATTCGAATATGAAAGTCCTCGACAGGTAAGATCAAAGAGTACTCGTCATTCAATCCCGTTCAATCTTAGGTCGTCATCCACTGTTATTATTTTAACTTTCGTGATAGTTTCATTAATCGGATACACTTTAACTATTCCTTGTTTATGTTATGCAGCTCAGCGTCATTCCCCTTCAGCCTTAATACCATACTTGGTATGGAGGATGTTATTCTCTGCCATTATATGTTTGATAGTTCTTTGGCAGGTTAGCTCTCAATCTCAATAACTTCTGAATTCATAAGTGATTTGTAGGCATTAGAGAAGAATAAACGAGCCGCCTTCTATAGGGCAGCATTCTATGATAAGAGGTTCCCTGTAGCCGTTGGTGAGGTATAGCATAACATCCAGTTTATGATGTAACATAGATAGATGTTCAGATAACTATTGGTTCAGTGTTCTTTCTGATAGCTTTGAGAGCCCACAAGGAGTTCACAATGCAGCGACTGGGTCGGGAAAAAACGCCTGAGAATGATAGATTTGATTGAAGCAGACAGAGAAGATGACTCAAGATGTCTTGCGGGTATTCTGAAGAGGAATTTCCAAACAAAATTCTCACTTGAATGAATGAAGGTATAATTAAATTGTTTATGATTGTTAAGTTCGTCGATTAGTTCACATACTATATGGAAGAAACAGGCTTGTTCTCGTTCTTCTCCGTTATGACCTTTGAAATAAACATAATGATGTTCAAGCAGCATTCTTGTATGATTCTCAGAAATCTCTCTCTCTGTCTCTCTCTCTCTCTCACTCTCTCCCTTCTACTCATTTACATAATTTTCTTTTTGTTTTTACCTTTCCTCGCCTTATATGATTCGACCAGATAAATAGCATTAGATAATGGTCTTTCATTTCATTCAAATTCATGAATTTCGAACAATTTGTTACATTTGCCCCAAGGACACATGCCTTTCTCTCTTCAACTTGTTCATGGCGTTTTATCTCCATCAAATCTCCATTTTCACATCATTTTCCCTCTCAAAGACTCTCCCTTTTGATTGGATTTGCTTTCTTGTTACCTCTCTCTTTCTCTCTTTCTCTTTCTGTCTCCATTTCTCTCCTTATCTCTCTCTCTCCTTCTTTGATCACCTAATTATCATTCGAACATCCCATTTAAGAAAATACTTTTCTTCACACAAAAAAACCGATGCAATAGTCCAATTGAAATGGCTTAGTCATATTCGTGAATCAGCTGTTTCTTCGTCGAAATCGTATTGTGAAGATTCCCTCAGATCAGATTCCATTGAATGTCCTTCTTCGTTATGACGATGTCAGACCTCCTTGTCACCACCATCAATTCTTCCTTTAATGGCTTGTTCCTCGTTTCTTCTCCTCCTTCTCCATCTTCTGTCATTGGGATAAAGAAAAGTGTCGGAAGCCTCATCGGAGAGAAAAGAGGAAAAAATAGAAAAAAAAAGGAGAAGAAGAAGAAGATGCTGACTGGCTTGCGTAGCTAATTACGAAACAGTATTGAGACGATTAATAAAAGAAAGAGGAAGCATCGTAGAACTTGATTTTCCGAATGTCATTACCAAAATAATAAGTATAGAGGATGAAATAATAGAAAATAATAATAAAAGCAACAATAAGAGGATAAGAATGGATGAGGATGAATGATAACATAGAAATGAATGAAAATGAATTGACAATCTTCTAGTGCAACCGCTCTATGAACCATACTTGTTAAAAATGAAAATAAAGTACTCACGTAAGTTCACGTGAACGATTGCATAGCAATGCATTGACACGTCATGATGTTCAGAATGTGATCATCTATCATACAGTCATATTCATATAGTCTATTCCTTCATCATCGTTTTCTCTTTCTAGGAATTAAACATATTCAAAATGTTTTTTGTTCAAACAGAAAAAGTTTAAAATAAAAAAACCCGTTTGGTCGCTTCTTTTTTTCGTCCCTGACGTACCGAAGATGCTTCTATTCTATCCGTACGCCACCACCCCACTACCTTAAGAAGGAAATGTCTGCTGATCATTATTTATTTCAAGATGATGATGACGATGGTGATTGGCAAAAGGGATAAAGCCGCCAAGGTCTTTTTTGTCTTTCGTCAATTTACAGACAAAAAAGGAAAAGAAAATTAAAGTGAAAACATGCTTTAAATAAAGGACAGAAAGTTGCTAAGAGAAATTCATTTTGTACTTCAAACATGATACTTCTCTTATACTTCAGACCTCCCAATCAAAATTCCAATCATAGAAGGCAAACAACTATTTGAAAAACTGAGACAAATTTGATTACTTCCTTCTTCTTCTCTCTCTGTAGCTTCTGTTGCCACTGCTGCTGCTTTTGCTGCTGCTGCTGCTGTTGCTGCTTGTTCTGATTGTATGGGTGTAGAGTTGTTGGCTTATGTGTGAGATCAAGTTTACAATGTTTAGTTTTGAAATATTTTTATTCATGCATTTTGCTGTTGGAAAGACAATTTCGCCCAGCTTGTATGAAAACAAAAAGTAAAAAGAAATGAAGATTCGAGGAATGGCTGCTATCAGCTTGACGAGCTGATTGGCCTGAGATTCGCTTAATATCCTGGGGCGGTACGTGGTGGTGGACAGTGGTCGCATCCTCCTGTAATGAGAGATAATTAATGATCGGAAAGAATGGGAATTTATCATACCTGGGGCTCCAGATTCTCCGTCTGGGCCGTTGGATCCTGGAGCTCCTGGTTGTCCGTCGCTTCCGTTGGATCCGTTGTCTCCTTGTGGTCCTTGTGGTCCGTCTTGTCCTGGGGCTCCTGGGTTTCCGGATTGTCCGTCTGGTCCTGGGGCTCCTGGGGCTCCTGATGGTCCTGGTGGTCCTTGTGGGCCTGGGACTTCGCGGACTTGTCCTGGGGCTCCTGAGGCTCCGGCGTTTCCTGGTTGTCCGTCGTTTCCGGCAGATCCTGGGGCTCCTGGGGCTCCTTGAGATCCTGGGTTTCCTGGGGCTCCTGGGGCTCCGGAGGCTCCGTTGTTTCCTGATGGTCCCTTTGGTCCTGGGTTTCCGGCGGGTCCGACTGGTCCAGCTGGGCAATCGAAGCAGAAGTCGTGGTGTGGGGCTGGGGTGGCGGCTGGGCCGTCTGGGCCATCACGTCCTGGGAGTCCTTGGGATCCATCATCTCCATCAGCTCCGTCTTGTCCTGGTTCTCCTGGTGGTCCTTGAGCAGAAACTCCGCATCCGCAGCATCCTCCTTGGTGTTCGAATCCTCCTTCGACTCCGAGGCTGCTGTATCCAGCTTGACGACGGCTACGGGCTGATCCTCCGGTGACCTTAGCAAGGACCTGAGATATAAGTAGTATTAAGAGGAAAGGTATGATTAGATGATTACCTGAGTACGGGTAACTTCTCTCCAGATGGATCCAGAGCGAGATTTACAGAAGTCAACTTCGGACTGCATGACTGATTGCATGTGCTGCATGTAGTTGTAGAGCAGTGGGACAGAGATCACGCAGACGAGTGTGGCCATGGTGGCAACGGACACACCGAAGAAGGCGACGCGGCGAAGGCTGTTAGCCTCTACTTCGAGTTGCTTCTCATCGACCATTCTGTAAGAGAAAAGCATATAAAATCATATTGAAATCCTCAGAAGAACGAGTGAGAGAAGTAAGACGCTTGAAGAGGTTTTGAACCAATTTAAGCTGAGATATTGCATTCATAGAAGAAACTTATTCACACACTGGATGTAAATAGGTAATCTAATAAGAATTCAAGAGATGAAAGGAATTCTAAACAATTCAACTGATTCCATTGCCTTTAGAGGAATGGAATACTTAGAAGTGATTGTAGGCAATGCCCACCTGTTGTTTCTGCCTGAGGGTGGTTCCTTTTATAGTCATAGAGGGCGGCCTATCATTCGGCTATGTGGCAGATAAGACAACAGGCTTTAACCAGAGGCTACAGACGTGAAATGTATAAGAAAGAAGGGAAAACAGTGAGAGCGAAGACGTCAAGGCCACCTATACGGGTTCCTTCCTCTTCCTACTCTCTTGATTTCTTCAACTCTCTCGTTCGTCCCACCAGCACTACATGGCTGTTTTTGATTTGAGTCTTTCAAAGTATAAAAAATTATACAATTTAAGAACATATAGTATATTGATGTTTGGATAGGTCAGTAGGTGGAAGGATATGTGTTCAGTTCAGAAAAACTATGTTGATAGTCCCGTCAGTGTGTTAGTTCCACTTGTACTGGAACCAAATTTGGTCGAGCGACATATCAGTTGAAAAACGTGTGAAAGCTGATTTTGTGTTGGTACATGGTTTGAATACAGATTTGTGATTGCTTCGAGCATTCCTCATTCAACCCTTTGAACTTGTGGAGCCCAAGATGGGAACATGTTCAGTAGATGACGTACCAGTGAGTTCAAAGACAGATATTCTCTCTTCGACCGTTTTATTTGCTTTTTATTGAAGAAGTAAAGTTTGAAACTTCAAGATATTCAGTTTTCCAAACGAATTGTAATATAAATTCATTTAACAAGTTGTCAATTGTTTCTTCTTCCTTTATGGGAAAGTTTATGGAACGTTCAAGTATTGGTCAAGCTCTTGGCTAGCCCTTGAGTAGCAAAATTGGAAATGAAATGTCTTTGTCAAATGCAAGTTCAAAGAAAGTACAAAAAAAAAGAAAAAAATGTTCAAAAATTGCATTTTGTGAATTGTTCCACTCATTCCTTAGTTGACTCTTTGCTTTGCCTCCATTCGTCGGCATGGACTGTCTTCTCTCTTCACACTCAAAGTTTATCAGGTTCTTCTCAGCCAATTGGAACCAGCTCTCAAAACTTTCCTCGGGTAGTACGATGCTTATCTAATTAAAGCTTAACGTATCTCATAAGTTATGGACAATTTCTGATTACCGATTGATTTTCGATTTTTTTCTTCTTTCATCCACACACATATCGTCATGATCTGCCTTGAGTGGGGCTAACGAGAAGCTGATTGCAGCAGCCCAATATCGATGATAACCTTTGATTTTTCTTCTTTTTTTTTTACAAAAAGAATAGAAAAGAATTAAATTTTCTCTCATCAACCAATTAAAATGACTCATAATCAGGTGTAAACTCAAATTCCTTTCCATATTTGGAAAGCAAGTGACTGCATGCAAGCCACTGCGACTCTCTCCCCGTCACCAACCCCAAGCCTGCATGCCTTTCAAGTCGCATTTTTTTTCATTTTTGTATTGAAAAAACAATTTTTTTATTTATTTCCAATTAAATAAATATAATATTTGGTGTTATTAGCGTGTAGAGAATCAAGTTTCAGCTTTCAGATTACATAACTATTTGAAACAAAAAGCAGGTTGGCATTGCCTTTGGCCACCCATGCTGAAACTGCTTGACAGCTTGTCAATGCTTTTCAGTATACTTATATGATATAATAAGAATGTTTTATGTCCTTTCAGTTGATTTTCAGTTTAGTTAAAGATTGAAAATCGCTTTGTTTCCAAATTCTCCTTTAACTTACCATGTTCAAGTGCTTAAACAAGATAACTGCACTCTTCTCAAATCAATCAGCAGCTTCTTCTTCGTCCTTCATTTAGGGACAAGTATCATCTTCATCATCATCTACCCTGAAATCACTTTCTCATTTCTCATTGCTTTACATCTCTCATCTGTTTTTCCTATTTTGAGAATTTACTAGAAGCCTTGATGAAACTGTTCGTCTTCTCTTCAACCCCCCCCCCCCCTCATCAAACCATACGCCAATGACCATGACACCATGAAATCTGGCAAATTCCGAGGCAACAACCTTAAATGGTATCATAGCCATCTAAGCGAAAAAAAACAAAAAATGATTAGTTCACACGGACTAGGTTTGGAGTATTGGCCTTGAGAGGAATTTCTATTTGTGTCTGAAAAAATAGACTTGTACATGCGATGTCATTGTGTGTCCTTATTTGGATGAGAGAGCTTCTGCTGTTCAGAACGCCTGAGATCAGAAGTCGAACGGCGTTGCAGGTGGTTGTAGCGAGTGGGGGGGGGGGGGGGGGGGGGGGGGGTTGGGGGGGGGTTTTCTTTTTTT